GCGTTGGGATGACTCCCAGTTCTCGTGGGTGTCTTCAGGGATACCGGCAATCCTGAGGTTGTTTCGCCGCCCTATGTCATCATACTCCACCCGGTCTGCTGTTGTCGTTAGTTCCGTTTGGTGCGAATTCTCCTCACTCAGCTGTTGAACTTGGGTTTTTAGTATTCGGTTCTCTTGCTTCAACGTTCAAAATTGCTTGTAAGTCACTTATTTTCCCTTGCAGAATTCCAAGCTTCTTTTAATCTCACCTAGCTGGTCTAATCTACAGGTTCCAAGGTATAAAATGATGTATGGTGTCAAAATTAACATGGAAATGTTTACGGGACCACATATTGCTACATAAGCACCTACACTTTGCTCGATACCTAACTGCTATCATGTCGTCCGTAGTTGCTTGCCTCCATAACATGCAACAACAAAATATAGTTGCTTCTCTTATGATGTCATCCATGTTTGTTGCTAGATCACAAGTAGACCAAGTTGTGTCCTGCATGGAGGACTTTCAGACAAAGTTTCTCAACACTCCACCTAGGCGACTGTATCCACAGAGGGCATAAGCACTTTGAAGTGAAGGCACAATATTTGCAGCATCTTGCGTTTATCGTCGTTATTTCATACTGCTTCTTCCATCAGGAGTGTGCACTGCATTTTCTTTTTTCAACAAAGTAGTGAAGCAGGAGGAAGAAATACACTATAGTCATCAGAAAGCACAGTGATGCACTGAGCACCATTTTCATCCCATAACACTTGGTGTCGAATGATTACATCTCCCTCTTCATGTGGCAGTCTTCATATCATCTCTGGATATCATCACTCTCATATGAATTTCTTACAGGAATTGGTCGACAGCCCGCGTTTGCCAGTCTATGTTCAAATGCTCTCGAACTCCGGTAATATCAGTGCAGTGCGACCTGTGGTGTAATGGTCAGAATCTCGGGCTGGGTGAAAACTACGGGCAAGTTTTAGTTATGCCATTTGCCTCTGTCTACCCAGCAGCAATTGGGAACCTGATGTTAATCTTCAATTTTACAGGATCGTATTCCTGGGGGTAATGGCATTAGTGCAGTTGGCGAGTTGTCCGGTCTTCTCAATTATTCTGTGACACTGGGTCATACAGCTCGTTAACTTGGGGGTGTGAAGAAGGTTGGCGACAGCTTCTACACCTTAACAAATTACGCTCTAGGAGGCCATGGCCGGTCATCCTCGATTTCGAGGGGCTTCATTATAGTTATGCTCTAAGAGGCTTCCATATATGATATTGGTGTAGTGTACCAGATTTTTAGTTGCTGTCAAAACTGCTTACTAGGGGAGGGAGAGTAGTTGATAGGTATAATTTATGTCTTTTATTGACTCTGATGCCTGCACGATCACTTTTTGTTCCACTTCTTGATGCTATACTCCAGGTAGCGATCAAATATTAGGTAGTCATGTGAGCCTATTCAACTGGAAAAAAAGTCGGTAAATAAACGAGTCTACTATATTTTACATCAAACCCACAGAGTGGCCAGCTGATTAGCCACCGATTCAAAAGGACTGTTTTTCTTCAGTGTTTTACAGTAGTTGAGTGTTCAATTTGAAGCCCCCTTTCAAGATAGATTTTTGTCGATTCTCTTTATGTTTCCATGATCACCAAACAATGACGTTGGGGACTTGTGCAAATTCACGGATGATAACTTTTTATATTAATCTTTCCTTGTACTAAACCCAACACCCTTTTCCATAGATGAACTATGTGTTGAAGGTTGTTCCAGTGCCAACCCTTATGTGCTTTTTTATCCGCCATCATCTTTACTTTTGTTAGTTAAAGGTCCATAAAAATCCTCCTGGCAATAATTTTGTTTCTTGCCGTTATATGGCATTGTCAACATTGACGCACCCCGAGGTATTCCCTACAACATGATGTTGATTAGTTCACTGGATGGTCATCAGTGCTCAATGATATGTAACTTTTGGTTTCTTCTATGATCTTTACGCTGTCTTTCATCAGATATCATTCGGGATATTGCTTTTTTTGTGAGTTGTAACTTCCATTTGAATTTTGCATACAAGTTTCATTTTCTTACATCTTTCATTACCTGGCTGCAGATATGCAAGTTTAGAGCCCATCATTTCAGAGGTGAGGGTTTCAGTGTTATTCCCACCAAGCCTTCTGGCCCATGCCTATATCACTTGAGTATATTTCTCTTCAGGTAAACATATCTGACCATTATGTCATTCCATAAGCCAGATCTGCACGCATTACATGAAGCTGGCCAAAAACTTCCT